ACACATCGAATCTCCTAAAGATTGAACCAATGGGTAACATGTACAGCGAGAACAATAATGGCGCCAAAGTTGATCCTTGAGGAACACCACATGAAGAATATGCTACAGAAGAGGAATATTGCCCAATACTGACTGAAAATCTTCTGTTAGACAAAAAGGACTGAAACCAGTCAAGTACAATGCCTCTAATACCAATGCAGTGCTCCAAGCGAGATAGCAGATTCAAAATACCATGGTCAATAAAATCAAACGCTGAACTGAGATCTAAAAGCACTAAGGCCATAGTATTACCAGAATCATTACATGTTAAAATGTCATTAAAAACCTTCAGAAGGGCAGACTCTGTCCTGTGTAAGCTTTTAAAACCAGACTGAAAAATATCGGAGATACAGTTAGTACTCAAATACCTTTGTAATTGCATAAGTACTATTTTTTCTAAAATTTTAGATACAAATGGCAAATTTGAGATCGGTCTAAAGTTTGAGTAAACTGCAGTATCTAGTGAGGGCTTCTTACAAATTGGTGTCACAGAAGCTACTTTAGCGTCTTTAAACAGTTGTTAATGATAATCACTAGGTCTAAATCAATGGTACCAAAGATTTGTTTAACAAATCGTGATGGAATAACATCAAAGGGGGAAAAGGTGGATTTTAATTTTAAGGTGATTTCTCTGCATGTCTGTATAGAAACAATTTCAAATTCACTCCATTGAGTAATGGATAAAATGGGATCTAAAACGGGGTTCGCCATAATAGCTAACTGAGCCTTAGCATTATTAACTTTGCCTACAAAATGCGTAAGAAAATTTTCACATAGTAAAGGTGAGATCTCTGGAAAAATCTGCACTGAGGGGTTTAAAACAGAATCGATTGTTGAGAAAAGTGTTCTAGAGCAATGTAAGTTTTTGGCAATACTTTCTGATAAATATTTCGCCTTGCAGCCTTAGCACCCTTTTGAAATTTGTGCACGGAGTCTTTCAGCATTTCGTATGACACTTGAAGCCCATCTTTCTTCCACTTACGTTCGTATTGGCGACATTGCTGTCTGAGCTCCCAAATGTCACTATTTATCCATGGCTGGGTCTTGCGTTTTAAATTAATACGCTTGCGAGGTGCAATAAGGTCTAAAATACTGGAGCACCTATTATTAAAAATCTTCACCTGTTCATCAACACTCGAATGTGAAGTGATAGGATCTAAAATAAAAGGTTGATGAGCCTCCAGATACATATTTGAGAAATCAGTACAGGATTGAGCAGTCAAAATACGAGACCGACATACCTGAGTTGGTGTAATGCTAGGTAATGAAGGAAGAAGAGTGGTAAACAACACCGGTATATGATCAGAAAAAGAAGCATCACAGAACTCAACATCAGCAACAGATAAGCCGAAGGTCAATATCAAATCTAGTGTGTGACCAAGACAATGAGTGGGGCCTTTTACCTATTGTACAAAGTTCAATGAGGACATGAGATTTAAAAAGTCCTTGGCTAAAGCATTAGCAGCACAACAGACATGAATATTGAAATCATATTATTTTATATGAAGGAATACACCTGACTTCATTAAGTTTTACAAACAAAAGGGTCAGATCAGGTAGAAACACCTTAGGGCATCAACTGCATTTTTTAAGGTGTAGGTCATGAGGTTCTGTATGTTTTTAGCAACCATTCTTGGAAGTCATTTAATGCATTCTGTAGTTCACTGAATTTATTGTGACAACACTAATAAAATGTTCGAGAATTATCTGAAGTTGCATCATTCACCCTATTTATGCAATAAACATAAGTGCCTGTTTATACCAGTACAATAGTGGTGGTTGTAACAAGAGCTGCATATGTCCACACAAAAAGGATTCGGACAAGATTTTAAAACCAAAGCCGAAACAATCACATAAAAGTCAAAACTGAAGTCATTTCAGTGAATTCTCTTTTTAATACCTTTTCATTATACATATGAGACCAGATCAATGTTCTACTGAACTGCAAGGCATTATTAATGACTTAATGTACGTTTCCATATTATCATTTGCATGTTCAGACCCTTAATTAATGCTGCCATTGTAAATACTGAAATAGAGATCTATATACTATACAGTACAATATTCAGTTAAATGTTATCATTGATATTTGTACTTTTAATGTTAAAGTATATTATAAAATATTTATTACACTTTATTTTAAGGTGCCCTTGTTACAGTGTAATTATACATTTAAGTTCTAAGTAATATTAATTAATGTACTTACTATATGGTTAGGGTTAGGATTAGGGCTTGTCTTAGGGCTACTTGCATGTAATTATGCATAATTTATTGTTATTATAATAGTAAGTACATGTAACATGTATAACAAGGACACCTTAATATAAAGTGTTACCAAAATATTCTTAACAAAATAATAATAATAATAATAAAAGTAAATAAATATGATTTTGCTTACCTGTTAGCGTAACCTATTAGTATTGTATATAAGTATAAATTGTCAAAACAACTAGAATTTAAAAAATTATAATAATAATAATAACAGTGTTCATGGTCACATCTTGTATTCTGCAAGTCCTCAGTTCCCAATAACAAATAAGTTCCCAATATTCCATAATGAAAACAACCTCTTTATTATGAGTGCATTGGATGGGTTAAAAAGAATCAGAGAATAAAATTAGCCAAAAAACATGAAAACCATGGGCATAAGTCATTTGTATTGTTCCATTGTTATTTCCCAGCTAACACTATAGACCTGTCTAAGTGTCACATTCCTGTGTCTTCTAATGCTAAATTGTCTTAAAGGGGTCATATGATGCGATTTCAATTTTTCCTTTCTCTTTGGAGTGTTACAAGCTCTTGGTGCATAAAGAAGATCTGTAAAGTTGCAAAGACTAAAGTCTCAAATCCAAAGAACACATTTCATTACACCAAATACACAAAATAATGCTCTTTTTAGCAGCATCATATGACCCCTTTAAGCAGGTTTTCCTTCTTTTCATGTTGAAACATCTAAAGACCATCCTTGTTATTGCCAAAGCGGGTTAGAAACAGTAATGAGTGCTTTCAATATTCAATACTGAGATCTCTGATATCCAAAGTGCCTGCAGGTTAGATAAATGTAACCTTAAAATAACTGGATACTGGATACTGAATAATATTCTTAAGCAGTAAAAACCTTTATGTTGTCTTTTCGTTGGTTGTGTACGTCAGCTGCTTTTTTCCCTACCTTACTGGGTATTTCTCTTCAGAGTAGCACCAAATTAAATTTCCTTTCTGAGTAGCAACATGATACATATGTAGCCACAAAGCAGGAAATTCAGAACAGGCTTCCTGCCCATACACTGAATGATCTGAGTTAAATGGATCTGGTGAAAAGACTGTATAATGCTTTATAATGTTTCATGTTTAGTGGTGCATATTAGGCCATATGAAATATTCTGTGCCTAAGATCATTCAGCTTATTGAGGAGAGGTATGCAATTGTTTTTCTACGCAATCAGACATATGATTTTCACCACCTGATAAAACAGACACAAATACTAAAGAATCACAGAAGGGGTAGTTTCAATTACATGCAATTAGTTGAACTTAAGAATGCTTTTTGGACCCACTACATAAATAAATCTGTAGTAAATATACTACGTAAATATTTTATTCTGACATCAATCTGATTATTATGAAGTACACATTTTAAAGTGCGTACACTAAAGTGGCCTTTTATTTCATTAATATTATATTATATGTACATTTTCCAGTTTTTTAAAATAGACTTTTAAGACTTAGTAAACTACAACATTTATTACATTTATAGGCACACTTACTTTTCACAAGAGAACCCAGCATTCAAAGGACTGAATAATTAACCATCCAAAACTTCCCCTGATATGTAGGGCGTTGTTACCCAGAACATCCAATCAACCAAACAGGAACACGGTGTGCACTGAAACACCTTTGAAACATCTTTGCAGCCGCTAGCAGACACCTAGCATTGGCAACAAGTTTTACAAAGCTATGTATTTTATGTACAGTGTAAAAATCTTGTTAATAAATATGATTACTCTCTGCATTTTTTTTTCTAGAAAGGATAGGGGAAACACGAAAACCTAGATGCTGAATGTAAGGAGACCCTGATGTCAAAGCACTTAATAAGGTTCTCCAGTTTCTTTCTGCAGGCCCAGTTCATCCAATTAGAAGTAACCTGAGAGCTAGTTTAGGAACAGGTTGAACATGACAAACAAACTTGATTACAGAAGAGTAAAGACATCCTTTAAAAACCAACTGTTCTAAAACTCTCTATATAACAAGTTATTGTTTATCCTAGGTGGTAAGTAAGGGTTGTCACTGGTTCAACTGTCCCAGCATGCTCACCATCATCTGTCTACAGGAGATTACAGCTAAACCCTGATATTCATTAGTCTGTGGATCAAGGGCTTCAGAGTTCAGACTCCCAATCTACATATTTCACTAAAGCAATACGTCAAGGTTTGCATAACAGTGATTTTACCATAGTTAAGTATGTTTTTTTGTTATTCTGCATCATGTTATGCATTAGAACACCCCTTAAAAAATTCCTGTTGTGCCTTATCACTTTTATAAAATAGCAGCAAAATCAATATGACAAAAGGCAATGTTAAATAACTTTTTTTAATGTAATTTATTAATAATAATCAGAATGATTTTTCTACAAAGTTATATAGCTCATTTGGTTAACTTAAGGGTGTATTATGCTGGCACGCAATCCAGCAAGTAAACAGAGATAATATTATATGGTGTATTAATATATAAAGTTGTGCATTTTACAGCAGCTATTAAAATGGTTCATTTAATCAGAATTTATCGTTGGATCTATGCATGTCCTATTCAACAATACACTCACAATTGACCTTATTGAGGGTAGATTGAGGATATATTACTAACGTGACATTGTTTTGTTGAAATCTCCATATGTTGTGAATAAAAAGCGAGAACGCATTAAAGCTGTAGGTGGGTGCGCACGCGCGCACAGCCGCTGGTGTTTAATATCTGAAAAGCAGAGATAAACAACAATGGGCTTTCGGAGGACACCGGTGTTAGATAATCGGTTTTATTCCCGAGAGTATTGTTTTCACTCAACCTTTTTTCCCAGGCGCGTGTGTTAGCGATTCAGGGTGATCTTTATGAGACAGGCAGATTATTCATGTCCATCTGACTAGAAGTGTTTAGAAAGAGACACATGAAGAGCTCATGGCAACATTTACCTGCAATAAACTTACTTTCTGGATGGGACGAGGAATTTATCAACTTTTTAATCTTGGTTCATACACCTTCCTAAATGAAAATATATTTTAATAATCTTAGGACAGACGAGTAAAAACGTTTACAGTGTTCTATTAGGATGACAGAATCCTTGACATTTTAAGCAGGTAAGTGGTGAAACTTTTGATTTTATTGTATGAAATGCTTTGTGATGACAGAGAGAAGATTTTGTGGTAAATGTTATTGAATGTTGTAGTGAATGTGTTGATGAAGTATGTATTTTATTAAGTTAGGACTAACAACAACAAAAAAACACTACACTTCATGATACACTGTAAAAAAAAATTTATCTGGTAAATGTGTTTCATTTGAAGATTTTATTTTAAAGGTTGCACAAACTAAATAATTTAAAATTAAGATGTGGGCCAGCCATTCACACGAATGTGTGAAATAATATGGCGGCTGTAGTCGCACCTAACGTTTAAGAGCCAATCACATTTTTGATAGAACAATGGAAGTTCCAATGTACTGTTAAAGGAGCCAAATACCTTTTTAATAGAGACACTTTCTGTTTGATGTCTCTTAAATTGAGAAATACCAGCGAATGAGCTCAATTTATTTTGCCATGGCTTCAGATTTTCCCGTTATTTTAAAACGTTATTTAACCTCAACATTATTAGATGTGTACTTACATAACTGAAATAGCTGAATGAACTAACTAAAGTCATTTCTAAGGGTCAGATCACATCCCTCACTATTTAAAAACACAGGCAGAAATACTGTAGCTCCTCCTTAAAAACGGTCCGTTTTCACTTTTTATAGTGTACAGTATTTCACTTTTTTTTTACATTAGAGTATCAAAGTACTATGGTATTACCATCTGATATAATCACTGTGTTAAGGTACTATAATTTTTGAAAGTGTGTAACAATATTTAATTATTTCTTATAATTCTTGATCTTTTTATATAACTAGTAAATGTTTTTGTGGAAAGATGTTTTTATGTTGTCTACAAAAAAAAAATCAATCATAGGTATCTAAAAGAAATTGGTGTAGGATTTTCTTTAAAACAATTTTCAATCAAAAATTGCTAGTAAATTGAAACATGACATTTTTCTTTCAATAAAATAATTTTATTTCTATTCACAGTTCTCTGCCAGCTCCAGTGCTCTGCTACCTGCTTAAGCTACACTTACTACATTCAAATAAATCATTGACATCCCCAAATGCCACCATGCCCATCATCAGCAATGCCAACCATGATTTTAGCAATCTCTCAGTCAGCACAGACGACAGCAGCCTTGACCTGTTTTTCTCAGAAATTCCAGAGACCGAAACCATCAAAGGTGTATACTTTCAACGTGCCCAGCGACTACACAACATCCCGGTCTTCAGAGATGTTGACCACAATAAACTAGCCCTCATCAATGTAGGAGGAGATTGCTACACGTTTCCTTGGAGCACACTGGAGGAATTCCCACTCACTCGTTTGGGACAGCTGTGTCACTGCAGCAGCCCAGATGATATCGCCCAGCTTTGTGATGATTACGATGAGGCCCGGCGAGAGTTCTTTTTTGACCGCAGCTCGATGGCCTTCCGGGTTATCTTAAACTTCCTGGCTGCAGGTAAACTGAGACTGCTGCGGCAGGTGTGTGCTGTGTCACTGTCTGACGAACTCAACTATTGGGGCATCGACCCTGTTCACATGGAACGCTGCTGTCGGCGCAAGTTGTTGTCCCGTGTGGAGGAAGTAGGAGCGAAGAAAATGAAGGAGGAAGAGAGGAGGCAGAAAAGGCAAGCCATACAGAAGCCTCTAGCACAAGAGAAGGGCTACATCTGGTTCATGAGCCAGCTGCAAGAAATAGTGGAAAACCCTCATTCTGGCTGGCTTGGGAAAATCTTTGCATGTTTCTCAGTGGTCATGATTGCTGTGACAGTTATCAGCTTGTGTATCAGCACCATGCCTGATCACGATAACAGGGTTAGTGCACAAAATCACTATTTTTATATATACTGTCTTCGGAGGGCATATATTCTGAGGGTCTTCTGTCTTCTATAGTATACCATGATATATATTCTACACCCTTTAAAAATAAAGGTTGATGCCATAAAAGAACCATTTTGGGTTCTCTAGTCTAAAGAACCTTTTGGTGAACAATTCTAAAACGAACAATTTCTTCCTATTGTGAAGAACATAACTTAAAGAACCTCTTCCACTATAAAGAACCTTTTGTGCAATGGAAAGCTTAGGTTTCATGGATGTTAAAAGTTCTTCATGGAACCATAGATGCCATCAAAAACCTTTATTTTTCAGAGTGTACACCAAATGTCAGAAGAATGCAAGAATATAAGGAATTTATGGGGTCACAATCACTTTTTTGTATTTCTTCTCACCACTATTCAGCTTTGCATGACCATTACAGTTAATACTTTTATGTATTTGTGTTATTTGTGTGTGGAATGTCATATTTTCAGGTTATTCATCCTCGTGACATACAGTAAAGCCGATAATTTGATAATTTAAGAATGAACTATTTTTGCAGTAGTTTCAACAAAAGGACTATGTTCCAAATAACATGATACCATACTTTTCATATATTGATTCTTATATATATATATATATATATATATAGTATATTGTCACGCTACGGTGGAATGAAACGCACAAGGAAGATGATGAGCAATGCAAACAGTCTTTAATAAATCCACACAAGGGTAAATCCAGGACAGAACAGGCAGGAAACACACGTATGGACTAGGGAAACTTTAATAATCCACAAGAGGGTAGATACAGGACGGACAGGCAGGATGCACACATAGGGACGTAGTAGACCGGACAAACACAGACTGCACAGACTAGGGCTTAAATACATGGGATGACGAGGACAATTAACAAGACACCTGAACCAAATGACACAATCAAATATGAGGGAAAACTAGGTCACGGAGCACATGAGGGATGAAAACACAACAAAAACAGTCCAGGGGTGTGACAGCTCGCCCCCCTCCCGGAAGGCGTGACTTCGTGGCGCAGAAACAACAAAGGGAGGGAAGGAGGGGGACTTAGGAGGAGGACAAAGGAGTGGATGTGGGATGGTGTTAGGGGATGGCAAAGGGCTGGCAGGAAGGCAGGCAGACAGTACAGGAGGAGGTTCAGGTGGAGGACGGACACCCGGGAGGAGGACGACGAACAGAGACCAGGGTGGAGATGATGGAGGGAGGAGCCATGGAGGAAACAGGAGGAGCCAGGACGTATGAGATGGAGGGAGGAGCCATTTAGGAGGCAGAAGGGACCAGGGCAGATCAGATGGAGGGAGGAGCCAGGGAGAATAGAGGAGGGAGCAGGAGGAGGCAGGCGGGACCCAGGCCACAGCCATGATGGTGGCCCACAGTGGAGCCGATGGAGGGACGAGCCATGGTGGAGGAAGGGCTGACGGCTCCAGGGGGCTGACCGACGGCGGCGGAGCAGGTGGTGGTGGAGCCCGAGGCGGAGACAGAGAGCCGAAGAGCCAGGGTGATGCTGAGGATCCGGAGGGCCAAGGCGGAGCAGATGGCTCCGGCGACTGAGGCGGAGGCAGGGATCCGGAAGGCCACGGTGGAGCCGGAGCAACAGAGGACCAAGGTGGAGCCGGAGGGAAGGAGGAGCCTGACAGAGCCGGAGGGACAAGGTGTAGCCGGAGGAGTGGAGTCCCGAGGTGGCGGATGGTCGACGACAGACCAAGGCGGAGCCGGAGGGACGAGGGAGCCCAGCGGAGCTGGTGGACTGATGGGCCACGGCAGAGAGGAGGGAGCTAGGAGCCATGGTGGAGTCACTGGGTCGAAGGGCCGAGGCGGAGTCCGGGACTCAGAGGCTGGAGGCGGAGACAAGGGATCCTCCTGCCACAATGCCGATGGAGACTGGCAGACCCGCGGCGATCCCACCGCACAGATGGTGGGCTGAGGGTGAGCTGAGGGGCTGCCAGGAAACAGCGGAGGTGATGGTGAGGACTGATACAGAGGAGGTGGGAGAGGGAGGCTGGGCGGAAGTTCAGAATGCTCAGGAGGATTTGACATGGTGTGTGCTGCCCACACACACCACATCGCGACAGGGGAACGACCTCCATGGTCGTTTCAGGACAGATAGACAGTTCGGAATGTGCAGACAGTTCAGGGCAGACAGACTGTTCAGACGAAGGCGGGAGAAGAGCTGGCATGTCTGCATATATATCCGAATTTAAATTCACTGAGCTCGGCTTACCCTCAGCCATGGTGCAGTGGGCAGAGCTTCCCTCCGTGCTCTCGCTGTCCATAGCACTCTCCCCCATGGCGAGCACTGTAGCCGGCTCTCGCACCTGGTCTGACGTCACAGGCTCTGGCCTCCGGGGCGATCCTCAGCTCTGTCGGGCTCTGACTCTCCGTCAGCGGTGGGTTCAGGCTCTTGCTCCGTGCAGAGGGGTGATGGTGGGCTGGGCTCTGGGTCTGGCTGTGTTCCAGATCGGGGGTTGACGCTCCCCAGACACCGGATGGTGGCCTTCCTCCAACTCAGTCCAGTGGTGTCTGGGGGGGTCGATGGCATGGTGAAGATTCACCCCGATCCAGAACAGAGACTTCAGTGTTTCATCGTCAAATGGGCAGGACGCAGCGGAAACACTGAAGTCCCTGGCAAAGTCGAGCAGATCATGGTTAGCATGGGCAATGGAGATGAGTTGGGAGGCGTAATAATCCATGACAAAAAACAAAAATGGAAAAAATAAATGGGGAAAACACATCGGGGACTTCTCTATTTCTAGGTCCGGGCTTCTGTCACGCTATGGTGGAATGAAACGCACAAGGAAGATGATGAGCACTTTGGATAAGGAGTCAGATGACGATCTGCCACCTTGGCATTTTTCCCCTCCTGGAAAAGCACCTTCCTGGCTCTTTCTCATTTGAGTATGCACCACTGGACAAAGAAGAAGCAGAAGCACCGAAAAATGGGAAAAAACTGGGGCCCCTGTCAGAGACCACATCTTTGGGAAGGCCAGGAATCTTAAAGACATGATAATCTACAACCTGAGCAGTTTTTTTGCTGAGGGCAATTTGGGAAGGGAAATGAAATGAGCCACCTTTGAAAAATTGTCCACAACTGTCAAAACCATGGAATTGTCCATGGAGGAAGGGAGGCCAGTGCCAAAGTCCAGGACAATATGGGACCAGGGGTGGGTGGTGATGGGCAGACCAAGAAAGGCTCTACTGCCCCTTCCAGCTGTCGCTACTCATCCAAAACCAGCCTAACTGCGAGCAGCTCCTGGTTACCGACATCATAATTTTGATCTGCTATGCTCAGGTGGTGAGAGAAGAATGCGCTTGGGTGCACCATCCCATGATGAGGGGATAATAAAGAAAGGACCGCCCCAACTCTGACCTCTGAAGCATCAACCTCCATAATGAACTGCAGATCAGGGTCTGGAACAGACAAGACAAGTGTAGATGTGAAACATTTTCATAAAAATCCCCATGTTCCTGCTATGACCACCTAAAAGGTACTTGAGTGTAGGCTAGAACAGTTAAGGGGCAGTGGTCTGACTATAATGCCTAATGATACAGCAATAAAAAATAGCAAACACTAGGAACCGCTGCAGTGCTCTATGAGAGTCAGGGACTGGCCACTCTGAGACAGCCCTCACATTTGTCAGCTTGAAATATGCACTTCTCCACTTTGACATAAAGTTGATTTTCAAGTAGCCTCTGCAGCACCTGTCAGGCATGTTGAGTGTGTGCCTGCAAAGATGGGGAATCAATGTACACAAAGACAAATCGATTATGTCTCTGAGCACATCATTTATCAGGGCCTGGACAGCCGGGGTGTTCGTAAGCCCGAAGGGCATCACCTGAGTGCACAGTAGGGGTGTTAAAGGCCATCTTCCACTCATCCCCTTCCCTTATCCAAACCAAATGGTAGTGATGTTACCTATGACACTGAAGCTTCGAGGCACATGTTGAGAGTGCTGCAGCGATCTTCAGTGAAGCCCCGTATCAGGGCATGTATTAGTTTTACAGAGTCATGTGAATGACAGTCACATGCGCAGTTTGCTCTGTGTATTGGAATGTTCGAACCCTCAGATTTACTCAAACTTATTAGATTACATTTTTTAATTCCTAGTCTGCATGAACAGCTTTGGAAACAGGACCAGGGGGATTTTGCCATGACACATTGACAGTGTAGGTTGCTGCATGTCAGCTCCACCAGGCCAACAAACAATGTTGGCAGGTCATGGATGGCAATCTCACTCTGAATATCAGAATTGTGCCCCTTCCTGAAAACATAAAGATGATTCATTTCAAGCCAGCGACTGGGTGTTTTAAACACCTTGATCATTTCCTGAAGAAACAGCTTGAATGTGGCACAGTAAGGTGCTTGCCTCTCCCAGATGGTAGTTGCCCACTATCTGGCCCTCCCAGTGAGTAGGGTAACGACGAACTCCACCTTCCCTGCTTCGGTAGCAAAGGTCGAGGGTTACAGGGCAAATGTGATGGCACATTGGAAGAGGAATGGTTGACATGACTCAGGAGCCCCATTATAAGGAGGTGGTGTTGGCACTCTGGGTTCCGGAGCCACCTGGGAACGACCAGGAGCAGGCAACAGTAGCCCGGATCTGGTCAGTGGTGGTGGTGGCTGGAATCCTTTGGGACTGGCAGGCAGATAGAAGATCCAAAGAATCAATTTTCCTGAATGGAACAGAAAGAGGAGGGGAGCCAGGAGGGCAAGAGTCTGGAGAGTGGTGATGGGGAAGAAGGGATCCAGCAGCCAGAACAGATAGGGGAGCTGGGGAGTCAAAAAATAAATAAATTAATAAATAAAAATAAATAATAATCATGTTTTTTATTAAGCAATATGATAATTGGAAGCCATTCAGTGTTAAAGGTGCATATCCAAAGCTTAATTGAACTGTTGAAAGGGATTTTGAGTTCTGAAAATTACAGATTATTAACACCAGTGGTTCTCAGCTCTGGTCCTGGACACTCTGCATATTTAGTATGTCTCACTTATCTGACACACTCAATTCATTGAGCTCTCTCCTGATGATCTGAATCAGTTGTGTTAAATGAGGAAGACATACAAAATGGGCAGAGCAGTGGGTCCCCAGGGCCAGAATTCAAAGCATTTTTCTCTCAATAAAGTTTTAATTTAAATAACTAGAAAGGTACAAAATGATTAGTACACTTAAAATAGACTTACAATAGCCTTATAAAAGCTGTATTATTAAAAATGTATCAATTGAAATAATATTAATCTACCGAATTTCTAAAATCTGTTTTTACCTTTATGGTGTACTGATAACCACCTTTAAAACACAGGCGGTAAAGAGAATAAGCTGAGGTAAATACAAATATATACTGTAGTAGGCGCACAGTATTATCATGAAAATACAAAATGCTATCATGGTAACACATACTTTTTGGCACAACAATAAAGTAATTAAAATGAATTTAACAACAAATGTACATAACTAATAAGAAAAAAATATATAAGAAGAAATGAAAAACCATCAAATGTGAGCTGTCACACAGAGAACTCTGGAAATGTCATCAAGCTACCTCATTAGGACTGACAGTGTGAGATGTCCCATGACCAGCCAAATACTACACACTTTATCTCAGTAACTGCACCCCCACCCCGCTTTCAATTTTGAATCTGTGTTTCATTACATATTTCCTTTAATAAAGCAAAAATGTCAATGTCAATAGTTACATTGTTTTTTTTTTACAGATTTTGCAGGCCATGCTTTAGTAAGTGATGTTAAATCTAAACATTCACCGTAACGATTTCTCCTTATTGTTCTTTTACAGGGTGAATGCTCAGAAAAATGTCGCAACATATTCATAGTGGAAACGGTGTGCGTGGCCTGGTTCTCCATGGAGTTTTTGTTGCGCTTCCTACAGGCTCAAAGCAAACTGCAGTTTGTTCGAAATCCACTTAATATAATAGATGTCATAGCCATTCTACCATACTACATTTCTTTGGTTGTCGATAGCGAAGATGAATCTGAAGAAGCCGAGCTTAATGGTAGCGCTGGTCGTGGATATTTAGATAAGCTGGGTTTAATTCTGCGAGTCATGCGTGCCCTGCGAATCCTGTATGTGATGCGACTGGCACGACACTCACTGGGCCTTCAGACCCTGGGTCTTACAATACAACGGAGTATGCGAGAATTTGGACTCCTGCTTCTCTTCCTCTGCGTGGCTGTAGCTCTATTCTCACCTCTCGTACATTTGGCAGAGAAAGAATTCACAAAGAACAAGCCCACTGGGCCCCACAGCTTTAGCAGCATTCCTGCTTCCTATTGGTGGGCTATCATATCCATGACGACAGTTGGCTACGGTGACATGGTACCATACAGTATACCTGGCCAGGTTGTTGCCTTTAGCAGCATACTGAGTGGTATTCTTATCATGGCTTTTCCAGCTACATCTATCTTCCATGTTTTTTCTCGTTCATATCACGAGCTGAAGCGTGAACATGAAATGATTTGTAAAGAAGAGCGAGCGGCCACCTTGGATGCTAAAGAGGACGCCCAGAGAGTGCTGGAGAGACACTCTTTTTCTTGAGCCAGCAATAAGAGTAATAGTCAAAGCAAGGGCAATGGCACAACTGACAGTCTAACATGCTGCAATAACATCAGGGGCCGGTTGCATAAACCGCTTAGACTAGACTTAAAAAGTTAGTCATCTAATTTTTTCTCTTTAAGACTGGTCATAATTTCTTAAAGTCAGTTATAAAAAGGGAGAATGGTCTCATTTGAATCCAAAAGGTAAGTCTGATTACCTCTTGGCTAACAACTAGTTGGTCAAACTAGTTCTTAAGACACAGTCTTAACACAGTGGCTATGTTTATGCAACTGGCCCCTGATCTATTATTTGCATATCTCTTCATACTTTGTTGGATTTATTATTTTCTACATGTGATTTTTAAATCTGTTGGAATGTGATTTCTGTGACAAATCAATAAAATAATTATCTGTACCATTAAAATTACTGAGGTTTTGCATATGATGTGTTCATTTGCCCTTAAACATAAAAATGTGTCTGTGTTTGTGATTATTGTTCCATTTTATACATTTATATTGTGATTGAAATTGTTAATTCAGGCCACACCACATTATCATGAATGATAAGTCGCAGCCTTTTAATTGCAGTTACCTTCAACCTTTTGGTATTTGTGGTTTACATAATTTATTAATCCATATTTCTGAAAACACAAGCTCAAGAAGCTCAAGAATCTGGTAAGCCAAATAACTGGTACCTATTATATGCAATATTTTTTTTGGAGAAAAAAAAACATAATAAAGGTTTATATCTACTTCAAGGACTCAAATTAACATCTTTTTAGGCATACTTGAAGTCACTGGTACAATATGTAATGAAAGAAAAAAGAAAGAAACTACAGTGTGGTTTCAAGAATGTGAATATTTTTTGCATGTAGTAGTAAATAACAATGCTTTCGAACATTAAAGGGAATTTAAACAAATATTTTCGAGAATATTCAAATGACATTAGAGCACACGAGTATGTTTAGACTTTTCTTTAATTGTACAATGAAGTATGTTGCTTTGTTAAGCCAAATAATAACATGTCAAATAATAACTTGCATACTTGTCATTACTCTCATGTTTGTTATCATCGGTGACAGCTGGCCAATAGAGGGTGATAGGGAGCCGCCCTCACCGAACCACACACAAAATAATAATTATAGGCCTATTTATAATTAAAAAATGATGAAAAAAGTTGATGTTTGCTTCATGATATATGATATGATATGACATCATCTGTGCAAATATATGCTTTCCCTTTATGTCCCCCTTTAGTGTCTGTTGGCATCTCCTGTGCTTGACTTGTATACATAAACATATATTCTATGTATTTTTGCTGTTGCACCGTATACAGAAATTGTGACTTATTGTTTTTTTTTTTATTTACCTTGAAAAAAAGCTTTGTGTTGTGAGAATCATTCTTAAACTTTATCCGAACTATTAACAATTATCTTTATTTAAAATGTTTCAAGTGTTTTTTCTTAAACTTTTTCTTTATCTCTTTAGCATTAAATAAAGGAACGGTTGCTAAAACTGTTGTAGCACAGCCATACGTTGAAAACTTTCCACCATACGCCACTGAATATCATGTGGCTTGAATTTTTTATTTTTTTTCAACATCACTGACCCTTTTTGATTTAAATAATAGCTGAACTTGCTAATGATAATTAGACTACCTCCAGCAGGCTGCTGACTACTTTTGATTTCCTCACTGTTGACACATTGCGGTTTTTTACATTTCTTTATTTATTTTTGGTCTATTGTGTGACACAAAACTCACAAATGTCATTAAGGTAATGACAATTTACATCCATATATTCAAAACAGTATCATAAAACGGTATCAAAATATGGGGACACTTTTTCCCAGTACTTGAAAGGCTAGAAATGCTTCTACACTTTCCAATGTTCTTTATTTAGCTTTACCTTTACTTTCTTTCTCTCATTTTTCCTTTTAATCTATAATAGGTTGTTTATGTATTTGTTCAAAGATTTTGTGCTTCACTCATGCAGCATGAGCTCTCTTAGACCAGCTTGTTAAGCTACAGTAAAATGATATATGATAAAATATGTAAACACATGAATGAATATATTTTCCAGTACTTGAAAGGCTAGAAATGCTTCTACACTTTCCAATGTTCTTTATTTAGCTTTACCTTTACTTTCTTTCTCTCATTTTTCCTTTTAATCTATAATAGGTTGTTTATGTATTTGTTCAAAGGCCCCCCCCCCCCCACACAGATTAACAGATTTGAGTTTTGTTTACCTTTGATAACCATAGTACAATACCCTGAGATGGTAATGTTTTTATTGTAACCATGGTGTTGTCCTCAGTCGCATATGACAAAAATAATTATGATCAACCCCTGGAGAGAGACACTGTATTTTTAACATGTTCGTACACATACTGTAGCATTACTAGCCAGTACAATTTATTCTACTTTTAAGATCTCTTAGCATGACCTCATTATCTTTAATTATTATACTAATGTGTTGGAAAATCATATGTTAGTTTCTAAGTCAGTGACTGGCTTTGTGTAATTCAGATGATCTTCACTAATGTTTGTGGCATATATCATAGTAGACAATGTTGTTTCCTTCTTATCGCTGATGTGGAAGGGGGTGGAACTAGTTATGCAAAAAAAGAAGGTTTGTCTCACTATGTACTTCACATTCATCGTGCACGGTGCCATGTCATGGTAGTGCTTGATAATGCGTATGAAATTCTACAAACAGAGGAAATATGGTGGAAGACTGTGAAAAACAAAGGTAAAGCACCGATGCTTCTGTTTTAATTTGTATATTAAATTATAAAGAAATAACATATATTTATGTAAGTTACTACCCACATTGTAGGAAATGTACCGTACAGTTAACGATTCAATTTGTGAAATCTTTTTAGAAGTGGCATACAGATTTAGATAAGTTGCAAAACATTAAATATAACTAATAAATCTAACTGAAGATTTTTGATGCTTTTATTAACTGTAGTACCTTATCATATATACCTTGTACAGCATCACTATGTGTATTAATGATAACAAAAGTTTATTTGAAGAAGAATGCATCATTAGATGAATGCATCAATACACAACATGCCAAAAGATAGGTCAAACATTTCTTCTCTTTTTAGTCATGGCCAATCAAGTAGTGGATGCAGATCTCTTCGTTTGTTTTTTATATTCACCATTTTCCTGGTCCTGTTCCTGTGCTACTACATTGTCCCCAATGAGCTGTCAGAATCCTGGGCTGTAGCAGTTGGATTATTTCTTCCAGAGAAATTTACCACTAAAATGGTCAACGATTCTCTGAATACAGTGACAACCGTGACTTCTGTGGAACCGTGGAAGCCTCCGGAGCCATATTGTGTGGCATACCCACACAAGTATAATTTAGTTTTGAATGAGCCAGAGAAGTGCCAGAGGGAAAACCCTTTCGTGGTATTAATGGTACCAGTAGCTCCAAGCAATACAGCTGCTCGGGATGCCATTCGGTCAACTTGGGGATCAGAGAGGTTAGTTGGAGACAAGACCGTGAGCATATTATTTCTGTTGGGTCTCCCCACTTCAGAAGAAAGAGAAACGCTTCAACAATATTTGCTACGGGAAAGTGAGAAGTATCATGACCTTATACAAAGTGATTTCTGGGACAGTTACTTCAATCTCACCATTAAGACAATGGTAATGCTAGAATGGCTGACTGTTTACTGTCCGAATACCTCCTATGCAATGAAAGTTGACTCTGATGTGTTTCTCAATGTCAAAACCTTAGTCAATATGCTTCTGTCTGCACCAAAGCAGAACTATATGACTGGACTTGTGGCTAGGAACGCAGTGGTACTGAGAGATCCTCATTCTAAATGGTATCTTCCAAAAACTGTTTACGAGCCACCTTTTTATCCACCCTACGCTCTGGGCTTGGGATATGTTTTCACCCTAGACCTGCCAGAGAAACTTGTTAAGGCAGCCCAACTTGTCAAACCGGTTTACATAGAGGATGTATTTCTAGGTCAATGTATGACACATTTAGGAATTGCTCTGACCAATCCACCTGATGGAAGCCTATTCAATGTCTTCCCTGTAGAATACAACCGCTGCCGCTATTCAAAACTCATCGCCATAACGACACGAAGCTTGAGAGACCAAGTGGAGTTTTGGAAGGATTTACAGAGACCTGGTCCATATTGCTAACAACAAATAGTTAAATCTGTGTAATGGTCACATGACTTACATGTAACAAAGCTTGCCTGTCTTTTTATACATGGACAACCAAAAACAGGCTATAACAAAACCGGGGTTAATTATGTGTCTTTGGGTTCACACTGCACAATTTCAGCAACAACAATCCACAGTCCTACAATGTGAAACGTGTTTTGACTTAAAATGCATCAGCGATGACCTACAGCCAATGAGAGAGCACGATACAGGTCAAGGGAAAGTTCAGGGGGTGGAGTCAGTCATAGATCTGCAAAAAACATTAGCATCCATGGCTTCTGCAAGCAACCATTCTCTCTTTCATATTCTTTTCTTATTTATTTATTTATTTTTTTTTCATTGCAAATCAGTGTACAGACAACTTGGATCGAAAGCTTTTTTGCAGCCTAAACTAATAAATCCATTCTCGTAAATACTTGAAGACCTAGATAAGGTAAATAAGATTGAAAAATAAAAACAATTTTAAAATGTGAATAAAAACTTGATCTACACTAGCAACAGATTTTAAAGGTGTTTTTCATTATTTCTCTCTCTCTCGCTCTCTTTTTTTGTGCTGCTATATATTTGTTTATGATAACGGATTATATTAGCAGAACTAATGTCAGTTTTGGTAAACGAAATATTTCATTATTTTTTTGCCATAAACACCTTTGGTAACACTTTATTTTATGGTGTCCTGGTTGCAAATGTTACATGTTGCTATAGTAATAACAATAAATGATGCACAATTTCATGAAACTTACTCTAAACCAAACCTTCATTCTAACACTAACCATATAGTAAGTGCATGTAGTTAATTAATATTACTTGGTACTTAAATGTATAATGTATAACTGTAACAAGGAAACTGTAAAATAAATTGTAACCAAC